AATGCTTGGTTCTGTACATCTAGAATTACTCATAATGCTAATGCAGGATCTCCAGTCTCATGCAAAATGTTCGGATTACTTCTGGGGATCCCCAGATGGCTCATGAGTAAAGCCTGCCCACTCTTACATGAGCCACTTTCTTCCTCCCTAACAGCTCACTTTAATGGAATTTCCCACTTCTGTGCATAAGGCACAGAGCAGCCAAAGGCAATGTCTCCTCACACAACTGCTGCTGCTACTGACCAGTGAAATTATCACGTTCATCAGTGTCCCTACCAAGGGCTCTCTGTGCTTCTCATACTGCTTGACCATTACTGCCCTTGCCTTTCTCTGGACTCTAGGTACTGCAATCACCATAGTTACCTTGGCTAGTTCTAACTCCAAGGACCCATGCTTGCTGAGTAAACTTGCCTCATTCTCACTTTTAAGGTAAGCTATATCTTGTCAGAAAAATCTTCTCTCATGCAAACAAGGATCCCACTGAACTTCCCACACTGGTCCACTAGACACGACTGAATTCCAGCTATGGGTGTAGCTTATGCTCATGTAGGGACCTATAAAAGTTATTAAATTGTAATTTAATGTACCATTATGTGGATAATTCATTCACTCCAGTAATGTTAGTTAAGTGACAGAGTGCTATTCCCCTACTGCAGTATTTTGCCATGTATAATGAGCACCCACGCTTTTGGTCCAAACTTTTAGAAAAAAAATCTTTTTTTTTAATTCAATTTTTATTTATATTTAGAAACAAAACCAATTATCATATTCCACGGTGTTATTTTGCATATGGATATCGTTATTGCTTTCTAGAGTTACACTTTTAACACACAAGCATAAATAAAAGAACTAAAACATTTATATAAATAGGGAATTAGTACTGCCCATGTATAGGGCACATCCTTATTTTTCCCTCAAAAAAACTGGGCAAAAAAGTGCACATTATACACAGAAAAATGCTGTATATTTATGCTAAACATTAGTTATTGGACATGTTACTCATCATTATTGTAAACAACACTAAATTAAATATTCCAAATACATAATCTCCCATGTTAAGAAAAACTTTAAAGAGTGTTAAGACTTGACTACTATTGGCAAATCTGAAAGATTTGCAAATCTTAAGAAACTAAGTATAAACTTGTAAAGTTTAAGAAATTATGGTCCTCTGAAACACTTCATAGTTTCCACTCCCATATACATCCACACTGTCAACAAATTCTGGCAATAAGTATATCAGAAAAAGAAATTAATTAAACCATAATAATCCACAACTATAGAGAACATCATGCAGTAGCTATAAAGAATGAGGAAGGTCCTTAACTACTGACAAAGACCTTCAAATTATGAGTTTTGCAAATTGCAGGGTATTGGTAATCTTATTTACAGTAAAAGCAAGAAATAATGCATTTTGATATGCACACATATGGAGGTAAACAGTAACCAGTAAACCATCAACAGCAGTTAACTCTAAAGAAACAAATGAATAAGAGGGGGGAAAATGAGTTAAGCAGATCAGTAGGAAAAAGCTAGTTATGATGGATTTTTATTAAGTTTTATGAGAATGTAGTTGTATATGCATCATGTGATTTTAAATGTAATTAGAGTGCACAGAAAAAGGTGTGATGTCTCAAAATCATTAAATTAGGTTATTGTTCTCAAAAATTGCCCCTTCTGGTAGTATAAACTTGACCTCTAATAAATTTCCACTTGCAGTTTACTCCTCAAGAAATTCCATCAAGCTTTCATAAATTTTATAATACTGTTATGACTTAAGCAGAGAAAAATTTTGATATGTCTCAGCTCCAAAGTACTTGGTCCTGAGTAAGAATCCTTCAGTTTATTAAGTGACTTGAAGAAGTCTCATATAGGAAGCTGGAAAGGGCAGCCCCCACCGGCTGAACTGGCATAAAGTGAATGAATTACTGTCAGATCACATACGAGAAGAATTTGAGTCCCCAGGAGAAGGTAATGGGCAGAATATCACCTCATCCAGAGGGTGTAATAGAGTCAAGCAAAAATCAAGAGATGCCAAAGTCTTTGTGTTTGTTGGGGAATAAGAGTTTCAATATATCCTCCCACAGAATATTAATTATAAAGGGAAAAATCAACTTTACAGTGCAGAAATCTGGTGGACACCTTAACTAAATAAAATACAGGCAATAATGGGACTAACCTGACATGTGCCTTCCTATGTAACTGATGCAGTTTAGTATTTCTGACAAAATGCATAACAAAAAGCATGAGGAAACAATTAGAATAATCCAAATTAAGGATCATTCTTTAAACAGCTGACATGTACTCTTCTTAATGACAAAAAGGAATTTTTCCAAATTGAACTGAAGAAATGAGGACAGCTCAATGTTGTGGGTGATTAGGAACAGGGAGATTGGTACAGCATTTTGACATGTGGCTCAATTCACACAGACTGCTATTAGATGCTACCCCAACCTTAAAAGTCCTGAATTTGATTAATTACAGTATGGGTGTACAAGAGAATACCCTTATCCTTAGGGAGACCCAAACTAAAATAAATATTCAAAGATGAAGGGGTATTCTTGGAATTTATTCTTGGTATTCTTATGGTTCAGCAAGTAATACTTAATACATATAGAAAGCAAATGAGTGGTGAATCCAAGTTAGGGGTACACAAGATCTTCAGGATAGCATTCCTGCATCTTCTCTAGAAGTTTGAAACCTCCTCAATAAATGTTTCTTAAGTCTCTTTCTTAAGATCTATTTCCTACTACTTGGGTTGACTCTCCTTGACTATAAATGTTAAGGCATCCAGAAAAATACCCTAATCTGTCCGTGAACCAGAAGATTTCTGCATTATAAGAATTTTTTAAGTTCAGTAAAACTGTCTACTGATTAGCGAAAACAAAGACAAACACACCTCACACACAGTTCTTGGACTAAGCAATGAACAACTGTTTGCCCTACTAAGGACCACATAATGTTTTAGATGCTTGAATAAAACAGTGAACATAAAAGCATCCTCACTCTGAAGATTATAATACAGACACAAAGCCCATATACTACTTTAAAAGCTCACTATTTTGAGCCCTGACCGGGGAACTCAGTTGGTTAGGCCATCATCCTAACACACCAAGGTTGCAGGTTTAACCCCCAGTCAGGGTGCAACCAATAGACACAAAGAAGCAACCAATAAAGGCATAAATGAGTGGAGCAGCAAATTTATGTTTCCCTCTCTCTGAAGTCAATAAATTTTTAAAAACTTTTTTTACTTAAAAAAATAAATAAATAAAAGCTCACTATTTTGCATGCAGGACAGCCAGGCAAATTATACAACTTCATCGCACTCTGACAGTGGAAGCACTTTATATATTTAAGGACACTTAATTTGGTTATCTAGTAAAAGAGATCTTAAAATTGTAGGCCAACCACTAGACTAAATGTTTAGTAAGCATTTAACATTCACAGCCACTCTATAGATATAGGTCCCCATTTTATAGAGGAAGAAACAGGTTTATTAAAAGTTAAAATGATTTGTCCAACTATAGTAAGAAAGATAGCTCTATTGTGAACCCCTCTAACTAGGCCCTGCAGACTACATAATACAGTGAGCATCAAAATCCTTTGAAAAAGCTATTTCTTAACATTAAAAATTTCCCTGATTAGCCAACATCAGCACATTGTTCTTAGCACTTTCACCACACTGCCTTCCTGAAGCTGATGATAAGAGCTATAAAGTATCCCTGGGAGTAGCTCATACTATCAATACTAATACTACTATACTAGGGCCAAGCCCTGACTGAGACATTAGGGAGAAAAAGGTTAATAATAAATGTATGACACAGGTAAAAATCCTAACGGGGGTAAACCTCTGGGAAAATAGCAGCAAGGGACAAAAGAAAGACACTAAAATCATTCTGATTCATTAAAGGTAACAAAACTAATCAGACATCAATAGCATGTATGTCTTCAGCTATCTACTGAGCTACACCTGTAGCTCAGTAGACTCAGTGGACCGAAGCAAAGGTTGCTGGTTAGATTTCCAGTCACAGAACATGCCTGGGTTATGGGCCAGGTCACCAGTAAGGGGCATGCAAGAGGCAACCACACATTGATGTTTCTCTTTCTCCTTCCCTTCCCCTTTCTCTAAAAATAAATAAATAAAATCTTTTTTAAAAAAAAGCAGTATGTATTCACAGTAAATTCCCCGTATTCCCCCATATATCCTTGATCAGGCAGAAACTTCCCAGATCATTGTCACTTGTTCTACCATGCCAATAAAATGAATGCTTAGAAATTCATTTTGTCTTGTTGCTTATGAGGAATCTTAAAGTAAGGGAAAGAGTGAATCACTCTCATCAATTCAAATACGAAATATCCATTCTTTAAGATTCACGATATTCCAGGTCTCTTCACTGCATCAGGACAGAATGCAAACCCAGTTGTTTTGATGCTTACATAGCCAAAGAGATTTCTCCGATTCCTCCTTTTTCTCAACTTCACAAAAACATAAGCTCAACTGTATATTTCCATCAACAAAAGAAGCAAAACCTAACAAAAAGGTTTATCACTTTCCCTTGAGTTCCAATTTCTTCTGAGTTCCATTAAATACAGTAAAAATCCTTTAACACTCTGTAACTCAACTTACCTTCCCTTCAATCACCTTTTTCTATTTATGAGTCCAAATTTACTACCACCATACCTGCCAAGGGACTTACACATTAAGACTGGTAAGGGGACCTGCAGCTGGGAAGTAATTACCATATACAAAATCTTCTGTGGATTGAGCTCTCATTGTTTCTCCCTCCTCTCCACCTCCCAGAAAGCAGGCAACAGGAAGATATGCTTTGGACTACTATACAATGGTTTATTTCCCCAAGCAATAGGTTGTCATGACCTTTTTATCTACTATGAGTTACCTGGAGAAAAAACTTTATTAAAATTACTGATATACTTGCAATTCCAGCAAAATAAATTTAGCTTCCTTGGTACTTGATATACCAATAATAAACAAAGGCACAATATGCTTTTTAAAACTTTATTTCAACATAACTATGCTTACAGAAATACACTCATAATGGTTAATAGAATGCAATTTAACTTATTTTACATGATTTTGGACCAACATCTTGGTACATGGTTTAAGCATTAAAAAAAAAGGATTTGCAATCTGGTTTATTTTTCATCTATTACAAATGTATATAAAAGATCATCCATCAAATGCTGCTAAAGCAGGCAGCAAGAACCTTGAGAAATTAACCTTTGGTTTGTCTCTGAAAAATAACACGTATTGCACTGTAAAAGTTTATAAAACTGGTGCAACAAAATAGTGTTGCAATGTTTCCATGCCAGTTTACAAAGTTCAATAACTAATGGATGCTGAAAAGGGTGGTGAGAGCCTATGTACACGGGTGAAACTGTAAAAGCTATTTGATTTAGTTAATATTGCATGTAGATTGCAAATCTACACAAACCAAGATTCAGATAACTTCCTGAATCTGAATAACACTATCAGCTCAGTTTATCTGCTGAGGTCAACAAGGAAACTCCATATACTAGCTATTTTTCTGATTTATGCAAAAAAGCAAATTACATTTCTTCCCCAGCTTTTCGGTCCAGAACTGATACTGATACTACAGGCAAGGTAGTCCTTCCATCCTCAACATTCAGAGGGTGACACGTGATGAGGTCTACTTGGGTTTAAATATGTATTAGCACTTAAATGCAAAACAGTCCCCAAAGTTAAAGACCACAGGACTTTAGAAGTGACTCTAAAAAATAAAATGGCCCTTCTTGGAAGACTAGAAAAAACATCCAGCCATAGTTATAAGAAGCCTTGTCAAAAATTGTTACCCCTTGTAAATTACACTTCAATTAAAAAAAAAAAAAAGCCCCAAAGCAGCTCTGAAAAGAGGAAAAATATATAACTTAAAATATCTTGAAAACATTACAGATGCAAAAAGATAGTTAAGAGATACATTTTCATAAAACTACCTATGATTAGGCTTATAATGTCTTCTAGGATTTCAAGTTTATCTCTAGTTACTAAACATCAATTTACATATAACATGTTTCACTTTTTATTCCTTTATCAAAAGGGAAAATTCTAGTTTCAATTCTATCCAGTGGAGGGGAAACTGAAAAAGCAAAGATTCAAACAGTTCCATGCAAATATCACATTCTGCAAATGGAAGAACTCCCAACTAGACTAGAAGTTCATATTACTAATATACTTTTCACTGAAACAATTTTTAGTAAGTACAAATACATGGCATTAAGGTTCAGAACCTAATATAGGCCTGACAATCAAGTCCTTGTTTTCTGGAATAAAGGCCTCAAGTCCTACTCAATTTCTAGTAAAAATTTTTCCAGATAATTAAACAATAAAGGGTTTTAATTTCCTTTATATTTTTGTTTTTGGTGTTCTGGTCTTTAAAACTAAATAAGAAAATCAATCCAATTCCACAGAGGTCAATTTTTTTCTTTTTTTGTAGTATGAAAAAATCCACAAAAACCTATCCCCAAAACTGATTCCCAGACTCTAATCTGTACTTAACAGGAATCTTTTCACATATAAAGTAAAAGACAACTTATATAAAATGTACCCATGAACATCAAAACTAGTTGTTAGAAAGATTTAACTAGCTTTATAATTTAAGTTTTAAAACATAAATATTTGCAGCTTGATCTTCTGTTGACAATGATTGTCGGAGCTGAGAATTCACCTAGAATTCAATTCAACATCATTTACAAATTCCCATTCATGCACACAAAACACACACCATGAACACACAACTTACTCCTCACGTCTTGAGAGAATCATCTTTCAATCTTTGGCCTCCCAGTCAATTCAAAGTTCAATTCAAACGTCTTTCAACTCAAACTTCACTCTCAGATTTTTAGCAAGTTTTCCACCCACACTTCATCAATGCTTTTCCTAATCTTCTTCATGTTGCACTGCCAAACTCTGAAACCTGTGCCCCAAAGAGATCACCAGATTAAAATGATAATAAGTGAAACATAAAGTGGTTATTTCAGAACAGAAAATGAAAAATCAGAATTGTTCAAGACTCCCTACTGGGACCATAGTTTATTTTTACTGCAATGAATACTACCAGCAAGAAAAATCCTATGTTGGATTTCCATATTCTTTAGCACCTGGCCAAAGAACCTACCAAAATAGTTTGGGAATACACACTCCTTTGCCCATACAAAGTATTCCCATAGGAACACCAGGATAGCTGCAATTCATTTGAGGCCTCACCTGTATAAAGAGGCTGTCACAGGAACAGCCAGGAAACCCACTAATTTGTGGAGATCCCTGAGAAAGTGTGATTTTTTAAATCTGAACTGTAATTAAGGTTCACCAGCCTTTTTCATTATACTCATAGGAAGTAGCAGCTGGTCAATCAGCACTCATACTGCATTTATCATCCTAGGTTTTCAGTATAATTGCTATGGCTTTGGAATCTCACAACTGACATTCTGTGTAAGTTGCAGGTGGTATATGTCTTTTAATTCCAGGTTTGCAATTTCCCAATGTCACACAGTTCTTTACTCAGCTGAGTAGTCATATGGACACCAACCATCTACGAAAAAAAGTTTTCCTCAAAGATGACTTAATACTGTACATTTAAGCAGTAGCTGTACTAAAACAAGCCAATAAACTTTACTTATGGTTGGTATTTGAGAGAAAAATCCATTCAATATAGAGCCTAGTGGTTCATTTATTGCAAAGTTCAAATTGAGAGCTGTGAATTTACTACATCCACTTAAAATAAATAACTTACATGAAATACAGATCTGGCATAGATATAAGATGTGAAAATCAAAATCGATGACTTGAACCTGCATGTTTCATTTGCTCACAAACTTGCACACACTAATATTCTGCAAAAAAGACAATTGCAGCAAAAGAAAAACTGCCCTTTTGCAAACAAGACTAAAAGCATCCTTCCAAAGAGGACAAAATAAACATGCATATATATGTATAAAGTGTTACTGCTCAACACAAATGCTATATCTAGGAAAAATTTAACTGCATAGGTTAAAAAAAAAACACAATGTGCAATATAGCCATTAAAGCACCAAAATAAAAAAATAAAATAAAAAAACAAAATCAATGTTCTTATGACGATTAACATACAAATAAGAAATATTGATCAAAACTCGGGAGTAAATACCTGGACTGAAACAATATCCACTGTTGGGAGATTTTTTTCAATTTAAATGTCTCTTCTCACCTCTAAAAAAATTTTAAAGTGCTAACTTTATATAAAGCAGGCAAATTCTTCAAGTAATTTGCTATTTAAGTATGCCAATTTTAATAGAGCTAAACAAAAAATTAAGAATAAACTAAATTGTAACAGGAAGACAGACATGGGGAGGAAACTGACAAGTCATAGCTAGAAAAAGCAACAGAATGCTGTAATACCACCTTGGCCTTCTAGTTCCAATTAAATGCACAAGCTAAAAGATTTAGGAGTCTGCAGGTTTAGTACACTAACTCCCTTGGATTTGCTAAAATTTACACACTAGGTATACAGAGTCCTAAGAAAAAGAGTGCCACTTAAAAATCAACATCAGACACTAATTAAAGCAATTCTAAAAATAAAAGGTGGTCTACCAGTATAAATGAATATAAAATGTAGACCTTACGAACTAAGAACTGAAGCCGTTTCCAAAGTTTAATTACTCCTGCCCTTTAGCTGCTTTTTCAAGGAAGTATACATTAACCAAGTGGCGATTGAGGTGTTTGCTATAATCTTTTTCCTTTCTAAAAGAACGATCACAGAAAATACAAACAAAATCTCCCTCAGCCACCTTGACTGGCAAGGCTTCCTTTGCATTCTTCCTACTAGTTTCCTGTGGAACTGGCCGGGCCCCATTTAATCCAGAATCATCACTACCCTCTGACATGTTGTCGCTTAGGTCACTTCCATCATGACTGTGGATGCCTTCATCTTCATCCATTTCCTGAGACTCGTTGACTGCAATGGTAACAGGAGGTGATGCCACGCCAGTTTTGAACACTGCTTCACCTTTTTCTGTTGGTAGGGGAAGAAGCAGTGGTGAAACTGGCTCGACTGCTGAGTCTTTTCCAGAGGGATTCTCTGTTTTGTTCTCACTAGTATCCATTTCACAAAGCCCAGTGTCAGCCTGATGTTTACCATCTGAAGTTTCCCCCTCTGGCATATTCAAGTTCTGTTCAGAGGATGAAGTATCGGCAGATTCCTTGACAACAGCAGCAAGACCAGCTAGACTCTTATCTGCCTCTTCTGCTTCTACTTTTTGAAGGGGAGCTTCTTTATTTTCTTCGCATTCAGTGAGTGATTTTTGGTCTGCTGACTCCTCTTCTTCTAAGTTTTCCTTTGGCAATGGTGGTGATGGTGGTAAGAAATCCTGTGCCCCTCCACTTTCCTTCCGAAGCTGGCTATCTTTAACAGGCACTAAGCCAACTTCAATAAGGACTTGCTCCTTCCTAGCCATTTCATTCTGTATGTTCAACTTTTCCTTTCTCTTATCTTTTTGAGGAGACCTTTTGGAAACTGGAGGCTCCGGAACAGGAGCAGGCTCCACCACAGGAACAGGCTCCTCCATGGGGGGAGGAGGCTCCACCACAGGGGGCTCCACCAGAGAAGGAGGTGCCACAGGAGGGGGCTCCTCCATGTGGACAGGCTCCTTCTGAACAACTTCCATCAGAGAAGGCTGGGGAGGAGGAGGCTCTGTGTGAACAGGCTGCATCTGAGCAGGCTCCACGGGAGGGTCCACGGGAGGCTCCACGGAAGACTCCACGGAAGGCTCCACGGGAGGCGGTGGCTCTGTCTGAGCAGGCCCCCTCTGAACAGTCTCCTTCGGAGCAGGCTTGCTGCTTTTTTTACTTGATTTATTATTTTTCAAAGTTTTCTTCTTTGTATTTTTTTTCCCAGAAGTATTTTGCTTCTTATTCTCCTCTACTTTGTTCTCAGCCTTTGGCACTTCCTGGCTATTTTTGGATTTGCTTTCTGTCTTCTTTTTCTTTTTTGTCACAGGTTCCTCATCATTAACAGAATCTTGTAAGGAATGGGCTTCCACTTCTACCTTCCTTTTACTTTTCTTGGTTTTACAGGTTTTTTCTGAATTGTTTCCTGTACGCACATCTGCGTCTTTAGCTTCCATTGCTGATTTGCGAGTTCTGGTAGTCACTTGGATCGAAGCATTACTACAAGGCTTTTTCTCCTTTGAAACATTATCTTTTTTCTCTGCTTTTACAGACTTCTCATTTTTCTTTCCAGCCACATCCCCCTTTGTTTTTATCTGCTCTGTTTCTGTTTTTTCCTTGGTATTGTTATCAGGCAAGTCAGCCTCCCGCTTTTTGGTTTTCTTTAGTTTCACTTTTGAGACATCCATTGTTTTATTAGGACAAGTAGGATGCTTAGATTTGAAGTGATACTGCAGATTACACTTCTTGGAAGCTGCATAGTCACATACAGGACAATTGAACTGCCGTGGATTAACATGTAGCTCTACATGTTTTTTGAAGTTACTTCTATCTGCTGTTTTGTAGTCACAGTGTGGGCAGTTAAGAGGTTTAGGCCCGTTGTGAACCTGTCTTGCATGGCGAGTTACTTCATGTTGATTAGAGGCCACATAACTGCACTGATCACATTTAAATGGCTTCTCACCTGAAAGTAAACGAGACATTAAAGACATATTAAAAAATAAATTCAAGATCTTACTAAAATACTAAGGAACTGGACTATGTAAACAAAAAACCCACAAAAAATTATTTGTGAAAAGTGTTTCATGCACTTAACATTTACCATATTTATTTGTATATCTTCTCCTATCCTTTGACATTGATTCTCAAGCCAAACAAAAATATCATCTCACAGTCATGACTATCTAACTAGTTCATCAAGCTAGGCTCTCAAGGATTACCAAAAAGCAGAGATTTGTTAGTACACAAATACTGGCAAAACTGACCTCTGGATACTAATTTTGGGGCAAGGGCTCTCAAAAAAAAATAACTTTTAAGTGTTTTATGTTTAGTTAAACAAATGTGCAATGGAGCAAAATATAAAATTCATACATATTTAAGATAAAACTTGAAACCTCAAAGAAATATTTTATACTCTAAGCTACACTCCCAGACTTTCAGTACAGAAGTTTTAAACACTGCTTTAACATCAGGGAGCAAAGGCTTTTTCTTTAAATTTAACCCTTTTATCCATCTAGGCAAGAGCTGAGTCAACCTTTATTGGGCACATTTTTCCAATGCCAAAATTGCTATTTTAAAGCAAAAATATAGTCTGATCAGAAATCTTTTCTTGATTTTTACCCATCTTCTTCTTTAAAACATGGGCCAAGAACCTAGGTAAATGAGAAGCAGCATACAAATAGATATGGTATGTAAAATAAGCAAACAAAGTCATAATCACAGGTATGTACAGAACCAGAACTCCCACCCCCAAATTAAAGGTACAAGAGTAACACATTCTACCTGAATACATACCCATCTAGATCACACTCTAGTAAATATTACCAAATGGCATCCATACCCCACTGGTCCAATGGAATGCATAGCAGAAAAACGGAAATTGACATTTATGAAAATTCATCTCTCAAACAATCTCAATTCATAGCAAATGTTAATTTTTTCATAAAGCAAAGCTATTCAGACATTAAATAAAACCATGTAGATGGTAAGTTCTACATGATTAAAAAATGTCTGATAATAAAAGACTCAATCACAAAAACAAACACTTATCCAGGTATGTCAGACTGGATACGTAGGTAAGTGGACAACTCTTTTCCATGTTCGTTCACTAATAAATTGGTAAATACAGGTTTCTATCACACGCTGTATTACACCATAGTACTTGGCCCTGTCCTGTCCTCTGCGCAGTGAATCACCTCAGTGGAGAAAAGCATTTAACATATACAAAGAACAGGCAAAGACAGGTGGCATCACAGTTAGGAACTGTTTTGGAGTAATCGTGTCTGTCTGGGTGATCAATATGGCGCCCTGCAACTTACTGTAAGATCTTGAGCAAGGTACTGAAAACTCTCTAAGGTTCAATTTCCTTATCTGTAAAATATTCTTTTTTAAAAAGTTTTTATTGAATTTATCAGGGTAACACTGGTTAATCAAATTAAAGGTTTTAGGTATACAGTTCTATATGTAAAATATTGTTGAGTGTCATGAGCTATAAATAATCTAATCATATAAAATACTTAGCATAGGCAGGTAAACAGGAAATCATTAAGCATCACTTTTCATCACTTTTGGAACAAACTGGTTAATTTTTAGTATGGGTTAAAAAAAATTGGAGGTAAGATCCATGTGTTGAGTTTATCCTGCCTTTCCACATAAACCCAACCTGAGTAACATCTGATTAATGCAGTTTGCCTCCTTATGAAAATATCTGTGCTAATAAAAGAGTTATAATGTAAACAGCGCCATTTAAAAAAACCCAGTGGATAAGGGCACCATATTTACACAGCAAGCATCAATCAAGTTACAGAAAGATGTAGGAATCTGTTCAAAATTTGATGGCAGCATAATTTGCCTGCTCCATTCATTCGCTGCCCCCATATTCCTTCTAGTGCCATAAAAATCCTGCTTGTATTAGAATATCTGTTCATCCAATTGTATAGCTTATTAGTACCTAGCTGAATATAAATCCTTTTGCCCTGTACCAACGGTTTTAACTCTCTTTTTCAATTCTAGTAATATAGGGTGAGGAAAAAGTAGGTTTACAGTTCATGTAAAAAAATAATACAGCCTGGCTGGCATAGCTCAGCGGATTGAGCGTGGGCTGCAAACCAAAGTGTCGCAGGTTCGAGTCCCAGTCAGGGCACATGCCTGGGTTGCAGGCCACGGCCCCCAGCAACCGCACACTGATGTTTCTCTCTCTCTCTTTCTCCCTCCCTTTCCTCTCTAAAAATAAATAAATAAAAATCTTTGGAAATAATAATAATAATACAATATAATAAATAATACAAGAATAAAATATTTTGCATCCGCACCACTATAAACCTACTTTGTTTTTGCCCCACCCTGTTATTTACCTATATTTTTCATCTTTATAAGCATGTCACATATCCATTTTATTCTTCCCAAATTAATTTATAGATGTATGGCAAATTCAAAAGGGAACTTTTTTTAACAAGCTTTACACATTCCTATCAAGAATAATCTAGAAAGAGCAGCAAGGACAATTTCTAAGTAAAAGAATAATAAGGACATACAACTGATTACTACTTAGCAATAAAAACAAAGTTCTGATCACAAAACAGGATGAATTGTCAAAAACATTTTATACGAGAATGTTCTTTCTGACAGGAAAAGTTAGAGAACTGGCTGGGCGAGACTATGGGAGTACTGACTGGAAAGGGTAATGAGGCAACTTTCCGAAGGTGGTGAAAATGTTCCACATCTTCAATCAATCTGGACAGTAGTCAAATAGGTGAAAACAAACGTAAGGTCACTCACTATATACCTAAGATGTGTGCATTTTCATGTGTGTAAATTAAACCTTAATAAAATACTGTTTAGCCCTGGCTGGTGTAGCTCAGCAGATTTAGTGCAGGCTGCGAACCAAAGGTCAAAGGTTCAATTCCCACTCAGGGCACATGCTTGGGTTGCAGGCCAGATCCCCAGCAGGGGGCACACGAGAGGCAACCACACATTGATGTTTCTCCCTTTCTCCTTCCTTTCACCTCTCTCTAAAAATAAATAAATAAAATCTTTAAAAAAAATAGTTTAATACTATTACAGAATTCATGACGAGAGTCTCAAACATCTTTCAAATAAGCCCAGCTATTAAAATAATGCCCCAATAATAATAATAATAATCAAGTACTCAGTGAGAGGAAAATAAACTTATTGCTAAATAAAATAATTTTCTATCTTAAAAAGAGTACTAAATGGAGGTGGTAGTTGGGAAGTTTTAAAATTCCCTTTAACATCCATTATGCTCATGATTGGAAAATCTTAAAAATGAACTTCATTTTTAAGAGAGAAGGGAAGGGAGGGAGAAAGGGAAACATCGATGTGAGAAAAATCAATCAGCTACCCCTTATACGCACCCCAATCAGGGACTGAACTCACAACCTAGGCATGTACCCTGACCAAGAATCAAACTGATGAGCTTTCACTTTGCGGGACACCATCCAACCAACTGAGCCACACATGTCAGGGTAAAAATGAACTCTTACACGAGCAGGATGGGGAACTGAATAAATACAAACAATGTATTTCACCCAACAAGAAATATTTCATCCAGGATGAAATGGATACTGAGAATATGAAAGGGAAAGCTGAGGATAATGTCAGTGTCTCTAGGACTACCCAGGTGAGGATACTCTAACAAACATTACATAGTAACACCAATAAAAGAGAAAAACACCAGATTAGATTAGTGTGTGTATTTTCATCAATATTCAATTTTCTTTTTCCAAGAGACGAAATCAACATTCTGGTCCCTTCCCTATTTGGCCTGACATTCTACCCTATGGATGGAAGTGCTCCAAGTAAATACCCAATGTGTTTTTGCCTCAAAAACCAATCTCTTTGTCAGTTTAGCTAAAATGTACCAACTCAACAAAGACTGATCTCTTCCAGAAATAAGACAGTGAGCACACACTTCTCTTATGTATAATATATTCACATGAGCAAGGAACCAAAATGCCGAAGATGACCTGTAAAGATCAGACTGCACTCCACAGAGAAGGCACCCATGACAGTCACTCCATGCAACCCCTTCCGAAACACTAGCTACTCAATTTGACTGAATTTAGCTTTACTTTATTCCAAGTGTTATCAGCAACATCTATTAAAAATATTAAAATACAGTATCTGCTGAAAATAATTCAGCATACTCATACACAAAACAGACTGGCCATGTTTTTTTCCAGTTTGCAACTCAAACGGTTGGCATCCAACATAAGACAATGGCTCTACTCTCTCAGTACATCCTGGTTCCAATTTCATTACGCAGTAGCTTCTTCAGCCATTCTCTGAGCCATATAATGTTCTTTCAAGGATGTTGATAAAAATGGAAGGGTAAGGGAGTCTGAGGCCAAATCCTAGCTCTTCCTAGCTCTTCTAATTTGGAGGAATGACAACCTTACATGGAACATTTGTCTTCTCTAAACCTGTGTCCTAATCTACAAATTGGGATTAAGTTATTTGAAGAGTACTAAATTTGGAGATAACAAAAAGCCCCGATTTCTCAGCACCCAGCATGCATACAATAAATAAATAGTATCCTCTATTCATTATTAACAGACTTTAAAATTGATTTTAGAGAGGAGGGGAGAGACAGAGGTGGATTGATTTGTTGTTCCACTTATTGATGAATTCATTGATTACTTCTTGTATGTGCCCTGACCTGGCATGACACCCACAACCTAGGTGTACAGCAACAATGCTCTAACCAACTGAGCTACCCAGCAGGACTATTAACAGACTTTTGAAAGACTTGCTGTATCATTAACAAACCACTAAAAATCACCTTTAAAATATAGCAAAGAAAATCCAAGACAACAGCACACTCAAAATTGTTCAGGCAAAGATTACTGACTAGTATAAAACACCACAGATAAATGCTTATACCATGACAAAAGTATTATGAATTTAATGAAAAAGATACAAGTACTGTCATTCTAATCCAGTGACCTAGCCAACACCAGTAACAGTCAACCAGATATGACTTCAAATGAAACACCCTGAAGTTAATGATCAAGCATATAATTTCCAGTGTGCAAGTAATACAAGGCACAGGGACAGAGGAAAAACTAAATGACACCAGGAGAAAGCAAGTTAAGACAAATCCGGAAGGGTGATATTCTACAAGAAAAATTACCACATTTCTTCAATGCCTTAGTTTCCCCATTTGTAAAATAGGAGAACTTCCACATTGTAGGACAGTTACAAAGACCAAAATGAGTTAACTCATGTAAGGTTCTTAAATGTTTTGTTGAAGAGCAAGAGCACAGCTGCCAACAAGACATATGCCTACCTTCAACAAAGCCTTAGAAAGCATCCAAGTTCCCTCAGAAAATGAAACTAGGAAGTGCAGAAAAAATAACTAGGTTCTGGTTAAGTGACCCAACTCAGTAACTTTGGAGACTTAGAAGGTGCATTCAATGTATATTAACATGACAAGCACGTATCAAGAAAGGCTAGCAGGCACACTATGCAATCCCTTCATTACTACTTAAATCAGAATCTGTACTGTAATCACGCCTTATCATCACTGATTCAAAACAGCTATATTCAATAGCAATAAAATGCAAGTATTTAATTTTAAATTTTCTAGTAGTCGCATTACAAAGGCAAAAAAAGAACCAGATACAAAATAAATTTACTACTTATGTAACCCAATATATCCAACAGTATGTCGACTCAAAAAATCAGTATTTAAAAAATAGGTTATTTACATTTTCTTTACATTGTTTTTGTTTAGAGTTGAAGATGGGAGAAGGGGAGAGGGCAAGGGGAAGAGAAGGGAGAGAGATTTGCTGTTACACTTATTTATGTATCCATTGCTTGATTCTTATATGTGCCCAGACCAGGGATCAAACTTATAACCTTGGTGAATTGGGAGGGCACTTTAACCAAATGAGCTGCATGGCCAGAGCTCTTCATACTGTTTGAATTTCAGTTATTTTATACATCTCAATTCCAACCAACCACATTTCACAAGCTCAATAAGCACATGGGGCTAGTGGCTACCCAACTGGACACACAGATGTAAGCTCCTTATTAACTTATGGAGATGGGTATACACAGACTTTTGTAAACAGCAAGACTTTATTTAGCATAGTTTGCCCACACGAGGTACATGCACATTCTAAACCTGGAAGGAGAGTGCTCTGGTCAGACATGCAGTTCACCAAGGGTCAATCATGGCCAAAATGAAAAAATGACCCATTCAAGACCACTTCTATTAATTATTTACTCCTTAACTTGGCCACCTTGATAATGGAGACCAATTCTGGTTGGTGATCCTGATTCTTTCACTGGAGTAGATAAATCTCCCACCTGTTATAGTCCTGCATTTTATCTATTACAGACTAGTAAATTAGTATCTCAGATTATATATAATTCTTTAAAGTTTACCTTTTGTAAATCATTCCTCAAAGAAGTCCTATCAACTTGCAAAAGAGAACAAATCCAAATTTCAAGACCTGAGAAGCTAAGAAGGGATCCCTGGAGCCGTGCAACCACACACTATGAAACTCAGTATCATACTGTGTTGAGGAAGGAGTGCAAGAAGGTAGTTGTTCCAAAAGGATTAACCAGCCTTGGTCTATGAAATTAGTTCAACTTTTGTTAGTGTCATGAAACTTGTTGAAGAACTAATGAAAATTAAGGACCTGCCTTCCAGAAAAGTACAAACACGTTTACATTTACAGAAGCTCCACCTATGGACTCATTAACAATCTCCATTTAAATACAGCTCCATAATAATAGAACATTTATTTTTAACTCTGATTTCTAAATTGTATTAAAAATATAATCATAAAGAATGTTCCAGGTCCAAGTCTAGAAGAACATCTTTATAATGGTAATTTACTAAAAATGACAGGAAAATTCCCGTTTCTTACCAACCTGAGTGAGTACGCATATGTCTAGTTAGATGAGTCTTCTGAGAACTTGAGTAAGGGCAAAGTTCACATTTATATGGGCGTTCTCCTGCAAAAATATAATGACTAATGGTTAAACACAATAAAAATATAATCCTTACTAATATTATATATAACCAATACTGAGTATTTTTACTATACATGTTTTTCCTACACCTAGTAAATAATTTATGTAAATATTAGAAATGTTAGTTATTTCACTTAGAATTTAAATAACATTTTAACTTTGCTGACAATATCATTGGCTTTCTTGAAAAATTTATTTTAGAGAGAAAGTGAAAGAGAAAGAAACATCAATTTGTTGTTCCACTTATTTATGCATTCACTGGTTGATTCTTGTATGTGCCTTGAGGGGAGAATCGAACCCACAACCTTGGCCTACCAGGACAACCCTCTAACCAACTGAGCTAGCTACTTGGCCAGAGGTACATTAAATACTAAGACCTGAAAAATTATCTTGATAAGGCATCAAGAAGCATTTTTTTAATTAGAATTACCCTTAAAGAAAAATCTACCCAAATTTTCTGAGTTACAACTTAGGTAACTTCTTAAAAAAATCCTTGTAAATGATAAATCTACCATTTGAAATTGTTCTACTTAAAGCAAGAATGCTTTTAGTGGGGATTATGTTGTTTTAAAACTTTCAAGTGGCAGATATAACTGTTATGAAGTATTAAAACAAATTTTATTCATAAAATCATAGAGACAGAGCAATTGAAGATGAGAGGCCAGTGATTTAGTATACTGTACAGAAGAATTTAAGGCAGAAAAATACGTGTTCTGTTTTTGTTTGAGTGTGGGTTGTCAACCAAAGTGTTGGGTTTTTTTTTAAGCTTGAAAATTTGTTTCATCTAGTCCTTGGCCACAAGGTAATAACTATGACCTTGAGCAAGTTTCTGTGTCTAGAAAAGTAACAGTATCTTCGCTTCTTAGAATTGTGAGAATTTAAGTTAACACATACAGAGTACTTAACATTGTGCCTGGCACATATTAGGCCCTCAATAAACATCAGTTATTTTGTCTACATAGTAAAATACAGCAACACATGCGTCTAATAAAATGAGACAAAAGAAAGAATGAAAAAAGAAAAAAGGATGTGGTGATGAGTGAGAAATGTGTTCCCAGTAACTGCTCAGCTGTAATTGGCTGGTAGCTATAGATTAGCTGTAAATAATTCATAGCATAGAATGACTACTATTAACTGCAAGAACTTTAAGAAAGTTTTAAAGGCTTTAAAAGTAGTTCTTTACAAAAGATCCACAAATGGCCAATTAGCACATGAAAAGATGCACAATATCTACAGCCATAAGGGAAATGAAAATCAAAATAAGATGAAGACTTCACACCTGATTATGTTGGCTATAACCAAAACAACAGATAAGACATTCTAAAAAAGAAAAGACAGATAGTAACAAGTATTGGTTAGGATATGGAACAACTAGAACCCTTATACACTGCTGGGATTGCAAAATAATGCAGCAAATTTAGAAAACATTTTGGCAATTCCTCAAATGATTAAACTTAATTATTAGGCCCAGCAATTCCACTCCCAGCTATATATATATAGCCAAAGGAGATTTAAAAGAAAAAAATTGTCCACACAAAAACTCGTACAAGAAATGTTCAGAGCAATATTATTCATTGACAAAAAAGTGGGAACAACCTAAACACCCATTAACTGATGAATGGATAAACAAAATGTTGTGCATGTATACAAGACATTATATGACAAGGAAAGGAAAGTAAGTACTGCACATACAACATGAGCAAACCTTGAAAACACTATGCTAAGGGAAAGCAGTCACACAGGACACATTTTGTGTGATTCCATAGATATGAAACGTCCAGAACAGGCCAATACATAGTGAATTGTATGCTATGTACCTCAACTAAGCTGTTATTTTAAAAAGTTAATGAAATAAAAATTAAATAAAATACTGCTATAGAGTAACATGAAGAATCAATAAAGCATAATTTACTTTTAAGTTCTTTGTAACAAAGTAGATTGCTTTATCTGTGCAATTCTACACTATAAGCACAATCTAGAAAACAGTGATTTTTCAGTCACACAAACAGGCAAGAATGTCATCTTTTAAAGTAGAATTCATGAACTGGTTAAATATCTAAACCACAAAATTAAAAACCTTTGATTGAAGACTTGAATGAAAACAGTCTTCAACCCCACCATGATAATTACCTATAAAAAGAAATTAGAAGCCCTGGCTGGTGTGGCACAGTGGACTGAGTGCAGGCCTATGAACTGAAAGGAGGCTGGTTGGATTCTGTGTCAGGGCACATGCCTAGGTTGCTGGCCAGGTCCCCAATATGGTGCACACAAGGGGCAACCAACCACACATTGATGTTTCTCTCCCTCTCATTCTCCCTCTCTTCCCCTCTCTAAAAGTAAATAAATAAAAAAAAATCTTATTTAAAAAAAATGAAATTAGGAACTTTGAATCTGCTGTATGTGACCTTGGGAACCTCCTCTAAGTAAACAAAGGCTACTGTCGGGCATACTCATTTCATCAACGGATAATTCTGAAGATTAGCATAGAATAGAAGAAAGTACCTCCCACTGGTCACTCAAAAGAAACCCATTAACTGACTCTGAAAACTAGGCTACCTAATAAGAAATAAGTGATTCTGCTATCAATCCTTTTCTCTACTCTTCAGCACTAGATGAATTTATTTTACCATAAATACAATTTTTTGCACCATGCATTAATACCAGACACTCTCAGAATTTAAATAATTAAATTATCCTTTAATTTATACATCATGAAATTGTTTTTTAAAAAATCATAAATATCACAAATAGGGTAAAAGAAGGGGGGAATCTCCTTTAAAAGCATAAAGACCAAATAGGTCTAACAATAAAATGTAAAATGAGGCACATACAACTAATATTAGTATGTAAATCATAACCTTATGGTGAAAATACCAACCTCAAATTAATGTGAAGAAAATGTTAAGAAATAGTATAATCTATATAAAATATAGCCATTAAAAATTAGTCACCTAGACTGTAATTAAGTTAAAATAAATCACTATATAAAAAAATTAATAAATGAAAAAGTCCTTATTTTAAACCTTTCACATAAAAAATTGGAAATACAAAAACAAATTTTTCCAGTTGTCTTTTTTTCTTCTAAAAAATGCTTTCATTTTTAAGATTTTATTTATTTTTAGAGAGAGGAAAAGGAAAAAGAGAGGGAGACAACATTGATCAGTTCCCTCTCGCGAGCCCCCACCAGGGACCTGCCCAAAACCGAGGCACCTGCCCTGACAGGGAATTGAACTGGTGACCTTTCACTCTGCAGGCCGATGTTCAACCAACTGAGCCATGCCAGTCAAGGCTAAAAATGTTCTTAAATCAACAATTTAGATTTATTGTTGAAAACATTTTTAATTTTGTTAGCCTGTGTCACCCCAATAAATTCAACAGAAAGGAAATAAAAATATTTTTAGCTTTTAGGGAAAATTTTTAAACTGTTCAGTGACCCAACAGTTCCAAAGTTATCAACTAAAATGATAAAAATAAAAAATTAATGTAACAAAGGCAATGAAGTGCTGGTAACATTCTCTGTTGACTTTCAGGGTGGTTATGAGTATATATATTTGTAAAACTACATCAAGGTGTATACATAAAAGTCATGCACTTTACTACATGTTATAGTTACTACCTGAAAGCTCTACATTATAGCCAGTTCTAAATTAGACCCCAAGGTTTTCAAAAGCTGTTAAATGAATATTAAGTACCTAAGAATGAAGTACATATGGTCTTTGGGATTAGTATTAAGACATTGTTGGTGAGGTTTAGTCTTTAACAATCTAACTCAAAAAACTGAGTTTTTGAGTCTTGCTCCAGAAATCTTTCATTTAATGGAATTTCACCTGCAAATTTGACGTCTACCACTTAAGCAAAGCAGTATCAATTTATCTCCCCACTGTGTCCCACACTTTACCTGTGGGGTTCAGTCCTACATAGCAACAACTCCTGCAAAAGGGAACTGACCAAACAGCACCCAGTACATCCCCCTTACACTTGTGGTGCAAGAGCACAGCACTAGATTACTCTGTTTTGTTCAGACTAGCAATCAGACCTGAGAGTACCAACTTTTAACAGTAAAATGTAAATTAAAATTACCCGTCAAGAGTTACAAACATTTCTTTGGGGGAAAAAAAATGAGACCACTAATTACAAAGATTTGAAAGTAAATTTAAAAGTGAATAATTAGGAAGTGTTGGGGACAAAGGGGGAGCGACCACTGATATGAGTTTCTTTTTGAAGCAAAAAGAACCTAAAATTGATAGTGGTGATGGCTGTACAACACTGTGACTGTATCATTTTTTAACTGAATTTGTTGGGGTGACATTGGCTAATAAAAACTGTATTAGGCATACAATTCTATATAATACATCAACTGTATAATGTACTGCTGTTCACCACTCCAAGTCAAGTCTTGCATCACCATTTATCCCCCTATAATTTCTTCTACCTTCCCCAACCCACCCCACTCTGGTAATCACCATGCTGTTGTCTGCATCTATGAGCTGTAGTTTTTTGTTTTGTTTTCTGCCTAATCCCTTCACCTTTTAACCCAGCCCAAAACTCCCCTCCCCTCTCAGAGCTGTCAGTCTATTCTCTACCTATGGGTCTGTTTCTATTTTGTTTGTTTGTTTTGGTCATTAGAGTCCACACATGAGTGAAATCATATGGTTCTTATCTCTCTGACTGTCTTATTTCACTTAGCACAATGCTCTCCAGCACTGTGAATATATTAAAACCACTGAATTGTAACTTTAAATGGACAAGCTCTGTGATAGTATAGTACAGTGTATCTCAATAAACCTATTATTTTAAAAAAGGAATTGCAAAATGTGACAAAATATTCATAACTGTTGGATATAGGTGATGGGTATATTTTGGAACAATGTAGCATTCTCTTTACTTTTAAGATGTTTGAAATTGTTCATTCTTTTAAGACTGTTCCTTTTTTTTTTTTTTGATAGACTGTACTTATAAATTAGGAAGGTCCTCTTACCTGTATGAGTTCAAACATGCTGAACATCATTTTTTGTCTGCAAAATAGTTGCATTTTCCATGTGTTTGCTTTCTGAGGAAAATGGGTTTCAAGTGTGGTGATCCCACCCATCCTTTAAAAACTAACTTCTCACCTTTCTATGCCTGGGGGACAAAACAAGTTAGGTTGTCCTATTTGGGAGCTCAATACCGCAAGTTAAATGTTTTAAATAGTTTGAGGCTGTGTTAAATGGGGTGATACAAATGTTAATCAATGGATTTTTTTCCTTTTTGTCTAAGCCCTTAATTCCTTTGGGAAACTACTGTATGCATTTTAGGATGTATTCACTGCCAGATAAATCTTCTAAAAGAGTTGTCTAATCTGGCCATTTAGCCAGATAAGACAACTGGCTGCTGATAAACTGAGGAGCAACCAATTCAGCTTTGGAGATATGTATTTTACATATCAGCTTTAAAATATGTATTTTAGAAAGAACACTGATAACATTTCTAATGGCTATTCTTCAATATAACACTCAGTACTTGTGTTCCTGCACTGAATCATTTAATCCTATGGTATACTGTGACCTCCACTGAGAATCTGAAGCATGTATAGAATAAATAATAAGTTCAAGGTCACAAAGACAGCATATAATGAAACCAGGGTTTGAATTCAGGGTCCCCCTTCCCCCTTTTTAACATTATTTTTAACTGCCCACTCACAATTAACTACCAAAAATGAGCTGAACTTACGGACTGCAAGAGCCTCTTACCTGTATGGGTTCGAACATGTTGAACATAATTGTTTTTTCTGTCTGAAAAATAGTTGCATTTTCCACATGTGTATACTTTCCTTGGAAAATGGTTTCTCAAGTGTTTTCTCCAGTGATATTCGCTTACTGTGGTGTACGTGCAAATGATGCACTTATAGACTCGCTCATTATCCCCTGCTCTGGTGTGGTGTTTCAGGTGAGCAGTATAGTGATCATATCGATTGGTATTGTAGCCACAGCGATCACAGCGAATGGGGCCCTTGGAGAAATCTCCCTCTTCTGCAGTGGAAGAGCCAGATTCCCTGGCTTTTGCTTGCTTCTCTGCACTTTCTTCCACAAAAAACTTCTTGGCACTATGAACTCTGATATGGTGCACAAACTGTTCTTCAGATTCTGCTTCATACTGGCATGGCTTACAGCGAAAGGGTTTGGTCTTCAAGTTTTTGCATTTGTCCTCTGCTCCAGGTGTTTCAGGAGGAAGATCCTTATTTGAGCTATAAATTTCTGGGGCAGCTGGTACCTCAAACACAGGCTGTGGCTCTGCAACACTGAGTTCCAAACTTTCCAGTTCCATGTTTTCCAGTCCATTGGGTTCGCCTTTTACTTCAGGAGACTCCTCAAGTCCTTCTCCATCACTATCTGAAAAGTTGTTATCCCCAACAGGCATCAATTCTGCCATCTGTCTTTCTTCACCAACTAGGTAATCACAGCAGCTGCCATTTACTTCCCCAGTTAAGGCCACATTTGCCAACATGATAAGCTGAGGAGCAGCCAATTCAGCTTTGGAGAGGTCGTGCAAGTCATACATATCGTTAGGCAAGGCCATGCCAATGTTGCCACTGCCGTTGAATAGCCCTCCTCCTCCAGAAGACTGCCCCATTACCTGGGTGGCCATAACTGTATTCTGAATTCAAAATGAAACAAAAAACACAAAAGCACCAGTTTAAATACAATTCTTAATACAATTCTTACTGGTCTAAAACCAAAACATCACTGTAATTCTTCGTAACTTTTTAAAAATACATTTTTCAATACAATTTTGAAGCTCAATGAACTTGGTTAACTAATAAAAATAAGCCTTTAAAATCTTTTTGTAATTTCAAATTCTCTTTACTGCATCACCCCAAAAATTTCTATTATCCCTCAGAAAAATTTTATTAACTGTTTGACACAACTCATCCATCAACTAGGTCTACTACTGGTACACACTTTTTAATTTTTTCTGGTGAAAAAAATCAATGGCCTTCACTTTTAATGTTAATTTAAATTATTTTTAAAATTCAATGTATGAGTAGTAGTAAATTGCCAGCCTCTCAAGTATCCCTTCAACTTTTACTGGTCTGAATCTGAAAGACAAGAAATCCAAAAGCCAGACAAACATGTCTAGAAAGTCGAAGCTGTAATAAGTGGTCAACTGAACAGAAATTCACATTACCTCAACTAATACCAGAGAAGTAAACTACTGTGAAAAAGTACCACTTACGGTAGTTTCTTTTTTTTTCTGATTTGTCCTGTTTGAAAGGGGGAAACAAAAATACGAGCCTTCTTTTCCTGTGAAAAAGTTTGGTGTACTCAAAATTTCACAAATGAAGATAAAGAATCTTTTTGCACACCTAATAAAATAAAATAATCATACAACTCAACTCAACAATCAGCAACTTTTTTGCATCGTGTTTGACTTGGCCTACTTGCCTAGTGGGAAGCCATTACAAGATCACCTTCTTGAAAACATGCTGGGCTTTTTAAAATCCTCTTAACCAGGTTGCTCTCCAACCTTTGGGTACTATTCTCAAAGTAGATGTTCTCTTGCAAATTACATAAAGTACTAAAAAAGTTAGATCCAAAATACAAAAGTAATCCGTTTCACCAAAATGTATAAACACAAACCGGTTGAGTTATATGTACCAACAAAAGTTGGAATCAAATGCCATCACAGAGAACAAACCGAGGGCAAAAGCTGTCCCAAGGTTTAATAGCCCGAGTTACTTGCTTATTTAACCAAACAAACACCGACTCTTCCAATACTCCCCAAAAACCCTAACTACCATCCCTAAAGGAATTTTAACGTTTGTTAGTAAGACTATCCAAGTAAAGTTCCAAAGCCCAATGTGTTGCACGAATTCCTATGTGCTCCTGCCACCAGCGCCTGCCTCGGCGGCGGCATTCCTGGCTGAAATAGGCATTCGGCCATTTTCTCAAAATACCAAACACAAAGCAGCTCTTTGCAAACTCGGGCGCTCTCGCTTCCTCTCGGCTCGGCTCGCTCACTGCACACATTTACAAACCAATTCATGGGAATTGCCCCGACACTCTTCCTGAAGTTTTCCTGTGCTCCCCAACACTAAAAAAGGCAAGAGGGGCCAACTCGGGGTGCAGTTGGGCCAGACCAAGTCTTCCCCAGTCCAGCCTCGTCTCTGGCCCTCGGGCCCGCGACTGGGAAGAGGGCAAAGTTACCGCGTCGCCCGAGTCCCGACTCCTCTCACCGTCCCCGGGCCAGCCCTCCACAGAGGGCATGGAGGCTGCGCGGGCGCCCTCCGGAGGCGTCGAGCCCTGAACGCCAGCGGGACCCCCACGAGCTCCCACTGCCCCCGGAAGTTTGCGAACTCACTCCCCCACGGCGCCACGCGGGACGTGCGCCCCAGCCCTGCCAGCTCGGGCGGCAAGGTGGCCAGGCGCGGAGGGCCGCGGCGGCGAAACGGCCCAAGTGCAGAAATCGCTGTCCAGCCCCATTGGCGGAAACGCCCGGGCCCCAGGGCTGACTCAACCCGCCCGGCCGCACTCAACGGCGCCTTCCGGCGAAAGGGAGAGGCCGGAGAGGGAGGGGGACGGGAGGGCCGCAAGCAGGCGAGGGGCTGCGGCGGGACTGGGGAGCAGCAGGAGGGCGAGAAGGAAGTTTCAGGACTAGGGCCCCAAGCAGCTCCGTTCCTCCGCCCCAGGAACCCGCTGCAAGACGCGTAGGGACCGCGCGGAGGCGGAGGCCCGGCCTGGACTGAGGAAGGGGTCCAGGCGCCGCGCAGCTCCCTACGGACGCCCCCGGCCCATCCCCCGGGCCCCGCCAGTGTAACCCGATCCCGCTCGGCCACCCGCCCCCGCCCGGCGCGGTCGCCGCCGCCGGAGCCACAGTATCTGCAAATCAGCCCTGGACAGCGCCTCGCTCCGCGTCCTTCCGCGCCCTCCCCCTCCCGCAGGCGCCGCCGCCACCACTACCGCCCGGCCAGCCCTCCCCCACCCCCTCAACCGAGCCCTCAGCCTCGCACCACACTTACCGGCCTTCCTCTGCGAAGAGGGACTGGAGACCCGGCGTCGCCGCTCCTTCTCCGACTACTTTTCTTTGTTGCTGGAGTTTCGGGGGAGGGGAGAGGGAGAGTGGAAAAGTTAGGCGCTGGGGCAGTCAAGGCCCGCGAAGGCCCGGGAGTGGAGCTGCAGAGAGTACTGACCGCTGGCTATCGCCCTGCTCTCCCGGCCGCCGCCACTGCCGCCAGCGTCTGGGGCCCCGGGCCTCGGCGGCGCTTGCTCTGTTGCTGCGCCGCGAGCTCGCGGGAGCCGCACATTCCAGCACAGCGTTGCGCACCCGGCCCGCGCTGCCGCTGCCTCCCGCGGGACACGCCTCCTCCTCCGCCTGCGCGCGCCCGCGGGACACGCCCATTCTACCCCCCCCCCCCGCGCGCGTGGCCGCCTGGTATGCCCCGCCCCTTGGCGAATTGGGTTGCGCGGGGCCGGGGCTGCGGTCCGGCACGCCTAGAGGCACCCTCACCTAATCGTCCCGGCCCCTCACTCTAGACCTTAGGTCAAAAAAAAAAAAAAAAAAAAAGGCGAGCCCTGCTCCCTTTCTGGATATCTTATTAAATAAGCTACAGAAAAGTTAGCCCCCAGCCCAGGCGAGAATGCATGAGAATAGAGCTGTTCAAAGAAAAATCTCCAGGCTTTAACCGTACTCTTGAGAACTAGTGTCACCCGCTTTTCATGGCAAAAGCGCTGGAAGATACCCTTCAGAATCTCTTCGAGGCTCCACCCATAGCCAACCCTTAACTAATGAAACTTGGTTTTAAGCTTGTACGTAAAAATGCATTCTAAATTTGAAACATAAACGAGGAAAATGCAAGCTGTTCTTGAGTAGCGAGAAGAAAACGTTTCGGGAAATCGAGGACTCAAAACAGAATGAGTGAGGAGGGAACAAGTCCCTAGACGTAGCTGGTAGCAGGTCATTGCTGAGCCTTCAAAGCACGACTTCAGTGGAGCAATTACCCTCAGATTACAGAGTGTAAAAATGGTGATGAGGACATAAAGGCTGCCTGGTGACCATGTGTTGGAGAATAACCTGGCTTCCCACGTTCCACGGGGTAACCTCGCATAATGCCTAGCACTTTGTAACGTGCTGAGAGAGAGAAAGAGGGGGGAGGGGTGAAGATTGTGCACCTCTTTACTTCAGTATGCACCAGAACTGCGTTCTTAGTCTGTCTTTGATCATTGAAATCACGCCAGTCCTCAGAAACTTTGTGGCTCCCATAAACCTAGTGTTGCATTCAAGGCCCTAACTAACCTTATCTAAATAAATTGGACTATCACCAGTAATACAATAGAAGTAGTGAAAAGTAGACGAAAGAACATTATACAAAATGAAAACAGCAAGCTCAAAAACCCACCTAATTGAGACTTCCTCCTTCGGCTCTCCGGGTTCCTTTTGTTTTAAGTTCCTTCACTTGTTTCTCTGACTAAAGAGCTGCCAGCCAGTCTGTTGTTTTCTGGTCTAGTACTCAGTATGACCTTTGTTTTCCTGTATCTGGACAATATATTATTAATTAATGAAGCATCTTGATTACTACTTACTATCAAATGCAAGCTTTTCCCATGAATCAAACTTGAGAAATATTACTTTTCATTGAACCAAAGAAGGGCAGGCCCTGGCTGGTATGGTTCAGTCGATTGGGGGTGGTCCATTTAAGCAAAAGGTTGCTAGTTCAATTCCCAGTCAGGGCACAGGCCTGGATTGTGGTTCAGTCCCCGATTGTGGTGTGTGCAAGAGGCAAACAGTTGGATGTTTCTCTCTCACATCAATATTTCTCTCCCTTTCTCTCTGTCTAGAATCAATAAAAGAAAAAAATTTTAAAGAAAAGAAAGAAGGAAGGAAATGCAGAAAGGAAGAAGGAAAAATAAAAAAGAAGGAAACATTTTTAGGTCTGGTACAAACTTTTCAACATTCATTCTCTTGTAAAATTTCTGGTTTGTTTGTTTGTTTGTTTGTTTGTTTGTTTGTTTTTAACTAAAATCTAGTTTGAGGCTTCATTGGTTTTTTAGATGCCCTAGCCCAGGGAGCAATTCTGGCCTCTATCACAAAACCCTCAGAGACATAAATTGTTTTCTCTCCCCCTTTTATGTCCAAAAAGGCAAAAATGAAACATCTCTTTTTAAACTTACTAGATAAACTGTCCTTCCTTCATTTCTTCAATCTGACTGCTTGCTGGAAATGTTTTATTAATTGCAAATTTATTCCCACATATGGTGATGCAAATAGAAGAATGGCAAATTGGCAGCTGTGTTCATTTAAAATTAGCAGAGGCCCTTGTTCAAGAAATGGCATATTCAGAGTGACCCAAATTATCATGACATGAATGCCAAGGTCAAATTCCAGGCCAGGTTACAAATCAATAGACAATTTCCTTGGGGGAAGCTGGTGTTATGAACATGAAATCTTAGTTGTTTTTCAAGAGACTGTATTTTATTCTGCTGCATCAAAATTTAAGATCTTCTGCAAGATAAAGACTCTGAAATGTGAATGAGTTGTTTTTTTTATTTTGAGAATATGGGTTCTTTCCTATATATTTAATTTGTCTATTTTAAATTTTAATTTTTCATATGTTCTTAGTATTGTTTTTCTCTAGAGACTTATTTTTAAAGTTCGATAAAATGCAGTTTTGGAGTTTCATGTGCTTTTTATTCCTTAGCATGTTTGATTTTTTTTCTTTAGACAACAGCATATTTTCTGTAGACGCACATCATAGAATACCTAAATATGTTGTTTCCTTTATTCGCAGAATTATTTGTTAGATCTGTAAACTATTTGTTAGCTACTAAAACTATAAAGCTCTAATATTCAAGTGTTTTTACTCTTAGGTTGACATAGCCCAATAATCTGCACTATTCTAGAGTATGATAGTTTAGGAGTGAAAATGATTTAAACTTACTCATGTTTAAAGGATGCCTGAAATTGAAAACCAGGCAGATACATGTACTCTGACCCTAACTGTGGCCCTGAACTAAACTACTAGAAGAAACGTGGTCCCAACAATTAGAGGCGGGGGATTTTTTAAGTATGCCATATTCAAGTGGAGATCAAAGAAGCCCCACTGAAAGAAGTGTGGATGACTGACATGACAACTGTGGATTGAGCAAAAATTATTTTTAAAAGGGATTAAGACTCAAAATCAGGAGGAATTAAGGCAGTGGAAGGAATCACATGTGAAATTCTTTAGATAAAAATTTATTAACTCAGAATAATTGTGCCTATGTTATACATAATAGAAAAAAACCTTTACACTTAAAAAAAAAGAAAAGAGGTTAATTGGACTGAACCACATTAATGTTACATTGAAGTTAAATTATCTGTGTGAAATGTTACATCTGACTCAAGGTTTGTGTAGATTAAAAGCTGAGATACACGTCTTCATCCTGATGTTGAAAGATTTCAGTTCCACTAGCTGTCACCAGACGAAAAGAAGACATTAGCGTGTCTAGGACCAATGCATGGGGCTTTTCTCCCATTCTCTCTACATTTCCGGTGGAACCTGTCACTGCTCACACCTCCAGGAATCTCATCCCAATGTAACTGATCCCGTGGGGTGGATCTCTGGCTCTGAAATTTTGCGCAATTTCTATTCCTCACTTAGTTAACAGTGAACTTAAAACACAACTTACAATATTGCTGCTCTTTCTCTATAATCTTACTCTGAAACTTACAGTAAGGGTAAAAAGGGTAGTGATAGAAAATGCACTGGCCATGTAAGCTAGAGGCCTCTTTCTCCTTTCCTGTGTTGCTTTAACAAATCACTTCTGTTGAGTTTTTTCTGTAGGATGCAAAGCTTGGACCAGTGATGACTAAAATTCTCAGGAGCCTAGAAATCTAGGGGGATTTTTATTCCATTTGAAATTTCGAATCATGTGCAGTTATTTCCTAGTACAATCATATGTATTTAAAGTTCAGTATATCTGGCCTCCCTAGTTTCTTTTCTAGAGCTCTCTTCTGCCCTCTCTGGAGACCCAGCAGTAGGCCTTGAGCCACACTGGCCTCAAAATGGATGGTGTCTGAAGACAGGGGGATTTAAGGCCTGGTTTAGGTCTATTTTAAATGCAGCATCATCTACCCTTACTGCTGGTTGGCCCCTGACCTTTTGCTCTGGGTTATGATAACTGGAACACTGTATCACATTCACTACGATATCTGCAGC